AAACATCTTAAACATTCTGAAATTCTTAAAAAGAATTCACTAGACATAGACATTAGTATAGTCTACTTATCAATGCCGTTCATCAAAATAAAAAAAACCTGTTACACAGAATTATGTATCTTAAAGGGTATAGGCTATTTGAAAGATGTCTAAGAAATTACATGTACATTGAAATCAGACCAAAACTGTAGTAGGAGTAGTTTATGAAAGTGCTGCAGTATATCACAAAAATAATATTTTTAGTAACGATGGCAAACCTTTCACCGAATTAAAAACGATAGTCTTTTTGTTAGTTTAGTTATAATGAAATCAGAACAATACTGTGGGAGGAGTATCTATTTAGAAAGTATTTCACAATGCATGTAATTTTTATTTTTCATTAACCATGGCAACACCTTTCATCAAAATAAAAAAAAACCAATACTCAGAATATATGTATCATTGTGTAATTAAGTTATATTGAAATCAGAATATCACTGTAGGATAGGAAGCATTTTGTAAAAATAAAAAAAAGCTTTAAAAAGCATTAGCCCCTGTGGTCTCTGACCAGTAGAACAAATATGAAAAAAAAGATTAATGGAAAGGTTTCTATAAACTGTAATAAACAAAAACGCTATATAAAGCAACATAAAAAAGTAAAATTAAAACATAAAATCATAAAGAAGAAAGGAATAGGTTGTTTTGAAAATGTTGTATAAGTTTGGATCTAAATCAGTACAGGGAAAATACTTTAAAAGGAGCTTCAAATATATCTTAAGCAAATTAAAATGCACTATTGAGAAAAAGGAGCTGTTGTACTTTATAATTTAAAAAGTATCTAAAATAATCCAAGGTTTATGATACCATTTTAATGAAAAGTGATTGTTTAAAATCAAATATCGGAAGCTATTTAATAATAAGGCTTACTGTATTTCATGAAATACCAACCGCAAAAAAAAAAACAAAAAAAAAACTGATTAACTATGGTATTAAATTTCTTTTCAAATCAAAAAGACCTTTACGAGTAATAATATTTTCCATTGAAAATGATTTTCAAAAAACTTTTGAATTAAATGCTTTGTGTAGTCTGTAGCCAACGTCTGAGCCAGATTTTGCTACCACCGATAGCAGGAGGTGATGTAATTTGTGATGCTACTCTATTCTTTTCGTTAAAAGGGCAGTTGGGCCATAACATCAAATTAAAAAATATCGAAACACATAATTGTACCAGTTTTCTTCACTGAATTTGTATTAAATAATTGTAAGAAATAATAAGAGATCTTAAATCTTGACAATCAAATTAAAAAAAGTTTGAAACAATAACAAATAACATAAAACTGATTCTATAATTAATAATACCATTCATTAAAAAAACTTCATTTAAAAATAGATATTGAAAAGTGAAAAAAAATAAATAAATAAAAGATTTTATATAAAAAAAAAAAGAACTGCTACACTGGGGAATTAAATCCGAAGACCTTATAAACCAAGGTGACAACGAAGCAATAAATTATTGCAAAGCAAATGACTGTAAAGTTCCTATTAGGGTTAAATTATTTTATAATGATTGGCATTATAATGATAACTGAACTTCACACTTTTAATGCTCTCATGTTAAAAAAGGGGAGGGAGGTTGATTGATTGTATATTGTTTAACGTCCCTCTTGAGAATTTTTCACTCACATGGAGACGTCGGGAGTGGGAGGGGTAATGAAAATCGAACGCTATTTAAATGTATCTTGCAGTATTTTGTTTCTATGTTTTTTTTTTTACTTTTGTAGAATCTCCTGGATTGCTATTAATAAAGTTAGACGAAAGGCGTCGGATGACGTTCGAGGGGTATAAAGGCAAGGAATCCGAGAGAAACAAGAAACTGGTGTATAATGTGGTTCGACAAGGAGACTGCTACATTAATACCGGGGACGCATTTACTCGTGATAAAGACTACTTTGTCTATTTTTCTGACAGATTAGGCGACACATTCAGGTTTAGTGTACACCGAATAATAATGAATCATAATTCTTCGGAAAATGTTTGCAGAGAATCAAAAATATCAGATTATTCCTATACATTGTAGTAACTTAATTGTTTCCGATGACTAATTTGTACGTTCATGAGTGCTTGAAGATGATAAGAAACGGTTATATGTACATTTAACACATTTCTATTTCATAAATAGATGGAAAGGAGAAAATGTATCAACAACAGAAGTTGCTAACATTCTAATGGAACTTGAGTTGGTCTCGGACATTTGTGTTTATGGTGTAGAAATCGGAGGTTTGTTCATTAATTTTGTTATTTTGATAGTTCAGATAATTATTCTAAAGGGTATACATTTTCCTACTTGATATAACATATTTTGAAAAACACATTAAGAAAAAATATCAATAGGTTGAATTGAACTTGTAGTTACGAATGCTAACTCGATTCCCAGCTACATTTTATACTCATCTTATTCAATATCTAGTGAGACTTGTCTGATATGGGTATTGTGAATTCTGAAATCTTGTGTAATATACGGGCGTTTACTTTAAATCCTTTTTCAAAACCCCCAATAGATAAAAATGTTTCCTAAAATCGGTATATTGTCTAATCCAGTTGCTATCTATGAACCAGTTGTGTCCGGATTAGATTTTTGAAGTTATTACAATAAATTAAATTCTGGCAATCAAAACTTATTTGAAAGAAAAAGAAATCATTAGCAATTGTTAAACCTATGTTAATTTAATCATAAAAGATTGATAATTTATTTACATTTTTTTTTTTACATTTGTTGACTCATATAAAATCGGTTAAAGATTAACTATATTTGCTTTATTTTGTCTGTAAATATATGTTCCCTCCAGCGGAACACAAATATCTTTATAAATATGAGGAAAAAAAAAACATTCAGATGTGTTGTCTTTTGAAAATGACTTGGAAGTTGTCGACAGAACAATGCTTCCTGACAAATATTTCATAAAACAACCACACAAAACGAATTTATCTGAGAACTTATATTAGTAAGCTTACTCAGATAGTGTGGATTCAAAATTGTTTAAATGACCCCTGGGTGTAGGGTTGGACCATAATGGGCAATCAGCAGTTTACACTGGAATTTATATTGATAAATATTCTCAAAAGCAGCAAAGCAATGATTATTAATTATATTAATATGAAAGGGTCCTCAGGTAATGCTTTTTGTGCAAATCATGACACCGCCCTCCTAGGGTAGAGTCATAATGATACATTTTACAAACTGAAATGTGAGTTGTTATTATAATTTACATTGTGTCTAGTTATCATATCATTATATTACTTTTTAAAATTTTAATTATGAAATTACTAGTATTTGAACGGTTGTCTGAAAAACCTTGATTCGAAAATAAATGAAGTAGTATGAAATTATAGTTTTACAAGTCAGCTCTAAATTCAATATTTCAGATAATGAAGGTAAAGCTGGGATGGCAGCCTTAACATTGAAAACTCGACCAGAAAATCTCAGTTTAAATGTAGAACAATTAAAATCGATTGCTCAACACTGTGCCCTGCAATTGCCTGCATACGCTAGACCAAGGTTTATACGAGTTGTAAAGGAGTTTGTATACACCAGTACCTTCAAACAGAGCAAACTAAAGTTGAAGGAGGACGGATACGATTTGAGGAAAATTACCTCTCCTGTATATTTCCTTGATTGCAAGGAGAATGTTTACAAACAGATGACGCCAGAGATACAAATGGAAATTGACTCTGGGAAAATTAAAATGTAGAATTGAAAAAAAAAATGTATCTGAATATGATTATTGAAGCAGATGAATATTTGTGGAATAAGTTTTCTATTTTTCCATATTCATTTTTTGAATTTAAGAAATTTTTCTATTTTCTCATATCGTAGGAGACCTTTTTTTTTATATACTCGTACGTTAAAATTTTCCTCGCAGAAGTGACCAAATGTTCAGAGGTTTTCTATGTTTTTTTTCTGTAGAATTGAATAAAAGTCTTCATTTATATGACTTTAAGAAAGATCTTATTTATTATGCACTTCTGGAATGTACATTTTTGGGAGTTGAACTATGTTCAATCTCCCTTGGTCATCACGCATTTTACATGCGCAGTAATTTGTATTAATTATATAGATTTGAAAGCGAGGCTACTATGTCGGCCAACTTACTCCGATGATATTCAACAGAAAACATGCATAAACATCCTCCACAAATAGTTCATGTCATTTTCTCCTGAATTGATCTATTTTTTATAATTTGAAATGAAAGAGATAGATACCCTAAAGCATAACAAACAGATGGACAAACATCCCGATTAATAATACCCTCCCGCTTTTCAAGCAGGGGGAATAAAAATAGGACTAACTTAGGCAGGCAAGCACTTTTTTTTTCTTTTTGCTATTCAGTGTCTCTGAATGTCTTTCTCAAGATTGTTGCAACACAAAAAATCTGAAATAGTTGTCTGTATTTGATATAATATTGTTAACTCACTTAACCTCTCAATCAAAGATTTTATTTTACACCATGCTCAACTCCCATGAGTACTTTCAGTACTTTGATTATATAAAAGTGATTGAATGATAGATTTAAACTATTTTTAAAAACTTAAGTTCAAAAGGATTTTAAAAAAGAAAGACTAAATACTTTTTTTTTATATGTAATAGTATGATTGAAACAAGATGTGTTTGTGAAACACTATGCGCCCGGCGGCAACAAAGTTAAAAAAAGTAGCATATAAGTCACAGTCAAGGTCACAAGGTCATTGTGCCATTTGAAAGAACTTCATTAGTGGAGTATGCATACCAAATATGAAGTCTCTATCTCTCATGGTTCAAAAGTAATGGCGAAAGTTCGAAAAAGCTATCTTAGCATATACATGTAGGTCAAAGTCAAGTTTAGTAGGTCATTGACCTTGGTGTCATTTAAAAGAGCTTAATTAGTGAAGTATGCATACCAAATATGAAGTCTCTATCTCTCAAGGTTCAAAGGGTATGGCGAAGGTTAAAGTTGACAACAGACAGACAAACAGACTTACAGACAAACAGACATGACAAAAACAATATACGCCTAGGATCTATCGATCCGAGCGCATAAAAAATTTCAGCTCCCTGATCTATTGGCTGAGATCTAAATTATAGAAATCATGCTAAATTTGAATAGTTTCTTCGTTGTCTAATTTATTAACTGAAATAAAATACTTACTAGGAAAAATACTTTTATGTTAACATGTACAAGGCTTTCCAAATGACCATAAGAATTAATTTTGTTACATTGTTTTTAAAACAGATTGAGAACTTTCAAATTGAAACAACTGTTTTAATACTTGTATACTACTTTAACTCAGATAAACATAACATTCAGGGACATATGGGCTGTGTTAGGGGTTGTTCTGGTTCTGTTTTTCTGAACGTAGATTTTAACCATAAAAATACATGTATAGAGATATTCAAGGAAAGGCTTTTTATCCCCTCCGAAAATTGTGATACATGCTGCCAAACCCTTCTCATCCCGTCTCACCTACCCCAACAAAAAACTTTGAGAGAAATCTCAAAAGACATTTTTGGATAGTCATTTTTTTTACCAGGTTGTCATTTTTTGCCCTTAGAATCGAAGTTTAGGGAATATTCAGTTTAGGTCTGTCCGTCTTCTAATTGTTTTTAGGTAGCGCAAAATAGATTATCCTTGCTTTAAGGAGGCTGGGGGATCAACAAATTAACCATCAGATATATATATTTTTTTCCGGTATATCTTAAGGTAGGCCCGTACTTTTAAAATTTTCTGTCAAACTGATCCTTTTTTAACTTGAATACTTTGAATAACTCATCTAAAACACCCATAAAAGACCTATCCTTGAAGGTTAATTTTCATACAACATGTCTCAGGGTACATACCTCTAAAAATTCAACAGCCAAAATTAAACATAACAAGCAAATTCAAGGAATTGTGGTCCCCCGCTTTCGGTGTCTTTGTGGGTGAGATGTCATTTTTTTATGACATATTGTGCGTAATATGAACATCCTATCATATGTCATTTATTTAGAAATCATAACTGCACTCCAAGGTCAAGGTCAAAGGGTAAAAGTTTTTGGGTATTCAATGAAAAGTTTTCTCACAAGGATTACGTATGTAAAGTATGAAAGCCCTAGCCCTTACCATTCAAAAGTTATGGCCAAGGTTAAAGTTTTTTATAAGTACGAAAAATTTCGACGGTCAAAAGGTCAAGGTTGTTGGTATCCAATGAAAGGTCTTTTCGCAAAGAATATATATGTGAAATATGAAAGTCCTAGTATCTACCATTCAAAAGTCATGGCCAGAGTAAAAGTTTGGAATTTTTGTGTAAAAAGGGTTTAAACTCCAAGGTCAAGGTCAATATGTCAAAATTGGTGGTACCCAAAGAAAGGTCTTGCCACAAAGAACACATATGTGAAAAATGGAAGTCCTAGCATCGGCAGTTCAAAAGTTGTGACCAAGGTCAAAGTTCTTGAAAAAAAGTCTTAGTCAAAGGTCAAGGTCAAAGGGTCAAACTTCATGGTATCTAATGGAAGGACTTCTTACAAGGATTACATATGTGAAAATGAAAGCCCTAGCCCTTACCGTTCAAAAGTTATGGTCAAGGTTAATGTTTTTTATAAGTATGGAAATCTCCATGGTCAAGGTCAAAAGGTCAAAATTGTTGGTGTCCAATGAAAGGTCTTGCCACAAAGAATATAATTATATGTGAAATATGAAAGTCCTAGTTTCTACCATTCAAAAGATATGGCCAAAGTAAAAGTAAGGATGTTTTGTGTAAAAGTGGGTCAAATTCCAAGATCAAGGTCAAAAGGTCAAATTTGGTGGTACCCAAATAAAGGTCTTGTCACAAGGAATACATTTGTGAAATATGAGCTCAGCTAAATCAAAAGTTATGGCAAGGTTAAAGTTTTTGTGACGGACTGACAGACGGACAGACTGACAGACTGACAGACTGACGGACAGACGAATGAGATTTAATGTCCCCTCACTTTCGCGAAAGCGGGGGACAAAAAGTGTGATAGCATTTTTTTAATATAGCTACGCACCAAGTCACATCAAATTTATATAAAACTTGTGGAAACAAAAAACATTCATTTGCCAGAAGAATATTTGAAATCTTTCCTCGAAAACATTGACAAATTGATGTTGAATCTGTCCACGTCTTTAAGAATAAAATCTCAAAATATCTTTATTGTCTCCCGCTTTCGCGGAAGCGAGGGGACATTAAATCTCATTCGTCTGTCCGTCTGTCTGTCCGTCAGTCTGTCCGTCCGTCACAAAAACTTTAACCTTGCCTATAACTTTTGATTCAGTGGAGCTATGACTTTCGTATTTCACACGTGTATTCCTTGTGACAAGACCTTTCCTTGGGCACCACCAAATTTGACCTTTTGACCTTGACTTTGGAGTTTGACCCACTTTTACACAAAAATTCCAAACCTTTACTTTGGCCATAAATTTGAATGGTAGGCACTAGGATGACTTTCATATTTCACATATGTATTCTTTGTGACAAGACCTTGACCTTGACCTTGGAGATTGACGTACTTTAAAAAAAACTAACCTCTCCCATAACTTTTGAACGGTAAGGGCCCGGGCTTTTTTACTTCACATATGTAATTCTTGTGAGAAGATCTTTCATATGATACCAAGAACTTTGCCCCTTGGACCTTGACCTTGGAGTTTTAACTACTTTTTAAAAGCTTTAACCTTGGTCACAACTTTTGAACGGTAGGTACTAAGACTTTCATATTTCACATATGTATTCTTTTTTTGCAAGACCTTTCATTGGATACCAACAACTTTGACCTTTTGATCTTGATCTTGGAGATCTACGTACTTATGTAAAAAACTTTAACTTTGACCAGTCCATAACTTTTGAACGGTAAGTCCTAGGGCTTTCGTACTTCAATATGTGATCCTTGTGAGAAGACCTTTCTTAAGAAACCAACAACTCAGACCCTTTCACCATGAAGTTTGACCTACCTTTCAAAAATTTATCCTCGACTTTAAATTTTGAACAGTGGTGTTAGGGATATTGTATTTCACAATCGTATTTCTTGCGAGAAAAACCCTACTTTGGGTAATAATATATTTAATTTGCATTTAATAAAAGTTTAATCTTCATTATGTTGCCATACGGGATCATCAGTGTTTCACAAACACATCTTGTTTCTTGTATTGAGAAGAGAAAGGGATTTCATATTTGACATGTGCATTACCTTTGACAAGATAATTTCGAGCATGCTATGATTTCTTACCCCTTATCATTGATGTTCATGATTGACCTTATTAAAAAAACAACTTTAATGATAATTTCTAAATAAAAGACATATGATATGGTGTTCATATTAGACACAATGTGTCATAAAAAAAATCTCATCCACAAAGACACCGAAAGCGGGGAACCGCAGGTCTTTGAATTTGCTTGTTTTTGATAATTCTCAAAATGTAAATTGTTTACATGCCATTTTTTCTTTAAAATTAGTAAGAATTATATCTAAGGTTAACAAAAACACAAACTTTATTATGATTGACCAGAAAAATTTAACAAAACACCCCTGTGAACACGTATACCCCCATTTTTGGAATATCAAGTTTTTCAATCATTTTTTACAAAATTTAAAACGAAAGTAAAATTCAAAAAGATGATATAGGCCTAAAATCTGTAAAAATAGATCTCAAGTTAGTTTGTGAAAAAAAAATAAGAAGAATTTTGTGTCTGTGTATGCTAAAAGCATATAAATCCTATGGACAAAGTGTAAAGTGTTAATTTCCATAAATAGTATATATTAAATGCTTTGTATTCAAATTGACACTATAATTAATAAATATATACTTATTAAATCATTTTCAAGCAACCAAAATATTTTATTACAAAAAAAATGATAATCAAAATTTTATATTGGTGTGTAAAATTGAAACCGGATTCATAAAAGTATGGACCTTCCTTAAGCTGTCAACTATCATTTGGAAAAGTAAAATTTCATACATTTTTGTCCCCCGTTTTCGCGAAAGCGAGGGGAC